TTAGTTTTATCTGTGTTGACCTCTAGGCCCCATTTATCACAATAAAGCTTTAAATTATTTAGATTCGATTGCAATTCTTCAATTGACTTTCCAAATATGACCATATCGTCGGCAAAAAGTAAAATAATCATACATATATCATAAAAAGTGAAACCCTTATCGTTATTACTATCATCATTCCTTAAGTATTGTTCCAGATCTTCCAGAAATAAAGCAAACAAAATCGGTGAATTATTTTGGCCCTGTCTTAGACCAATAGAAATATCAAAAAAGTCTGACAAAGTATTACAGTGCTTAACACAGGAAGACACCGAAGAGTACATATCTCTAAATATCCTGATCAATTTACCATCTAGTCCGAGATTAAAAAGTTTATACCAAAGAGCATTACGATAGATTGAAACGAAGGCTTTTTTAATGTCAATAAAACAACAATAAAGACGTAAATTTTGGGATAGTATTCGTTCCACTAAAGAGTGCAAAACAAAAATTGCATCAACGGTGCTTACACCTGAACGAAAACCGAATTGTGCGTCAGACTGTATATTGTTATCACGCGCCCAATTTTCAACCCGTTTTGTTAATACCTTTGTAAATAATTTACCAAAATTGCTAATTAATGTTATTCCTCTATAATTATTAGGTACCCTCTTATTTCCCTTTTTATATAATGGTACAATGTAACCATAAGACCATACTTTTGGGAAATGACCGGAATTAAATATAGTGTTAAAACAGTCAGTGATATGACCGATAAGTATGTCGGACGTCTCAATGAAAAACTCATTTAATAAATTATCGGCAGGACATGGTGCCTTATTTCGCTTAAGATCTTTAATTGCCATTAGTATTTCATTAGACGTAATAGGCGTATTCAGGCATTCAAAAGATGGATTATTTATATTAAAGTCTGTTTCAGAGATAAAACTTTCTACATCTTCTATACGTGTAGATCTTATATCATTGAACAAGCTAGAAAAATATTCACGAAATTCTTCAGGTTTTACATCGTTTGAACAATTTTCAAGTTTTGGCTTAAAATGATTCCAAAATTGCTTTGGTTTTGATTTACGAAGTTCGCATAATTCGCGCGACTTTTTAGTCTTAAACTCTCTTTTTTTCTTGCGCATTAAAAGTTTATAAGAACGTTTACGCTCAAAAAGTAATTGTCTGTTATCTATTGATTTGTTTCCATTAAATGAATTAAGCGCTAAAATATACAGTTTCTTTGATTCTACACACTCGCGATCAAACCACTCTTTATTACATGATGTATCATGCATATTGCATGATATCCGCGAATGTTTAAAGTACGGTTCGGCCACTTCTTCAATCAACGAGGAAAAACCATCAACTAAATTATCAATAGAAAGGCTCTCCGATGTACCGTTACTAAGTAGAAGTGCATTAAACTCGGGAAGCTTTGAAATGATATCACGTCTAAAGTTTATCTTGTGATCATCTGACCATTTATAAAATGTATACTCCGAGGTATTTTCATAATCATTTATATTTTGACTACTTATCAAAGAATTAATATCAATTTCAAAGAAGAGTGGTGCATGGTCACTGTATTCGTTAAACGGTAACAGTTGAAATGTATTAATCCGCTTAAAATCTTTATCATTCAAAACCAAATAGTCAATTGTACTACATGATCGTTGGTTAAAAAATGTGAACGAACTGGTATCACCAATTCTACCGTTAGCTATTCGCAATGATGTGGACTTACAAAAATCAAGCATACGAAACCCCCGAGCATTGCATACATTATCTTCTGAGGCCCGTCCTTGAGCAATATCAGGCGTATAAAAATCAAAATCTAGCTGATCATTACAAACATAAAAGGAAATAAAATCATTATGGCTACCAACTCGTGAGTTCCAATCCCCAGCAATCATTACTGTTCCTAGCGTTTCAAAATATGATACATCATCAAATAATAAATCAAACAAATCATCATTAATTATACCAGCAATAGGGGACTCGTCTGACCAAAGGTAAACTCCACACAAATAAATATCAGTATCAAGTGAAAAATAAGAGTGATCAATTTTTAGCCAAACAATTGTGTCATGAGTATTTTTGACAACAGATATACCATTAGTGTAGTTTTCCTTTATATAAATAACTATGCCACCACTATTTCTTCTAGCTCTTCTATGCCTGAACTTTCTATAATAATTATAACAATAGTAACCGTCAATATCTAAAACAGAGTCTTTAGTAGTCCATGATTCAGAAAGAATAATTATGTCATAACTTTTGATTATTTCAACAAAATTTTGATCAGTTAATTTGTCACTCGATAGCCCATTACAATTCCACACAATAATTTTAAGTTCATTCTCCGAAACACGTTATCTCTGCTGGGGCTTCCCGTCAATATATAAGGTGTCGTATGCGAGCCAAGCCCGCTTACCCTCGTCACGTGCAGCTTTAAGTTGGGGGATCAACTTTCGCCTTTTTTCAGCTATTTCAGGAGGGAACTGCTCTTTAATGAAAAAGTTAGTATTTTTCAAGCAGAACCCTTGCTTTCGCACTTGTTCCCTGTCCTTGAAATTAGCAAATTTGCAAACGATAATTCGATTACGGCGTTTGCTTGGATCTGATTCTTGATATCCGGTTCTATGAGCACGCTCAATAACTATGTTATCGACTATTTGTTGAGCAATTTTCAGCTTTTCTACCATAAAGTTGCGCACTTTCGGTTCGATATCCGGCTGTCGTTCGTTGATTGGCTCCTCAATCCCACCAAATATAAGGTTATTACGCATGCTCTGCGATTTTAGGTACGTAAGTTCGTCTTGTATGCCAGTAGCTTGCCTTGTTAAATGCTCAATTTCAGACCTTTGAGATACGTCATTGAATTCAATATTGTCGATTCTACTTTCACATGTATTGACACGATCTGCAAATTGCTTGCTAAAGTCATCAAGCTTACACCATATTTTGTTAACTTCATGTTCAAAATTGTCAACCTTTTTTTCTAGTACACTCAGCGTGTCAAGTTTATTTTCCATATTGGTCAACCTATCAGAGATAGATTTTAACATTCTGAACAAATCAGTATTGGTCGGAGCATCATCTACGGTCGCTGTGTTAGTAGCCATTATTACTGATTTATCTGATGTATCATCAAAAACAGATGTATCCTCATATAGAATAGAATTAGCTTCACTAAGAATGTTACTAACAGATACTATACTGTCATTCTGATCAGGCCCACTTTCCGGGCCTCTTACAACTTTGCACTTACTTTTGTTCAAATTTTCTTCTTCATCAGTACTGCTCCCTTTTTTGCGTTTGCTCACTTTTTTATTCCTTTTTGACATTTCTTATACATAGTATAATATATAACTCTTCAAACTATTAAACTATTTTCCAAAATATATAGTCCACAATAGTCAAAAATCCAATTTTTATCATAAATATATCAGAGCCGATAAAAACGCGACCAATTCAAATCACGTGACCATGACCGATTAAGTGTTAATGATAATATCATAGTTTATATATTCATAACCATCATTGATGTTATACCATTACTTTTTTACTTTTAAGCGCTTGTAAATGTACGCTAATTGTAAGGGGAAGTGACACTTCCATGCACCACAGTGTATACAATCAAGACCAGCACAATTATGCATCAAAGCTGTCAATTTTAATTACTTTAGAACTATTATTATTACTATTATTATTATTATCATCATTATTATTATTATTATCGTTTTTATTTTTATTTTTATTCAACTGAATACATGTAGCTTGGGCGAAATTTAACATAGATAAAGTAAGAATATCATCATCAATTTTATGATAATCCTGATAAAACATTAAAGAGCTTTCTACAAGAAAAAATAAACATTTATCAGAAGTGTTGACAGTTCTGAGAATTTTTTAGTTATTCGGAAGTTAGATACATATTCGTTATTTATCTATCTAAGAGAATAAATATCTAGTAAGTCTGATAAATGTATGTTGTTTATCGTGTAAACACAGAAACTAAGTAGTTAGTAATATTGTCAACGCCATAATTATATAGTTAACTGTTAGCAGAAATATGCCACCATAGTCAAGTCATATTTAATTTTCAACATGTTTTTCTTTATTTGTATCGTAATATCAAAATATAAATGCAATCTCAAAGGTCATATCAAAATTATTGAACATATGTCGGTCGTGTCATTTAATGTCTAAGTATGTATCTGATCTATATAGAAAAGAAAGACGACGACTATGATTGTCCTGGATCGCTCGCTTGAGAACGGTGCTGGAAAGATCGCAACTTTTATTTTGGATGTTAAACTCGGTACTGAAGAAATAATAGGTTTGTCATTTTTTACCCAAGTTTCCATGCTCTTTGTGTTGTAATTTCATAGCATAGACTTGTTATAAATGTATTGTTCTATTATACAGTGTTTTTAAAATATGTGAACCATACGGCAGGGAAATATTTAGCCATAGTGGCATGATTTATCAAACATTTTAGGGAACCATAATGATTATACATGACAGATATCTAATTTGTCTAAATTGTAGCCAATTTCATATCTATTAAATCAATAAACTTTAAAGGTTTAGATATTTTATTCGTTAATATCAAGTTTTTTGCTATATTTGAAGAAGACATCAAGACAAGCTTTTTTAATTGGCCGAACGGTTGACGAGGAGAAGGACATTCACAGAGTGCAACCGAAATGGGACTAGTGGCGATTTTTAAAAAAAAATGTTGTTTATTTATTTAATTTTTTTGCATAACAAATGGACATCCACCCCTTTATTTTTTGTTCCGGAACTATTTTGTTACATTGTGTTCTATTTACAATTAATTGATGTTCAGACAGACATCTAGGCAGATGGACAGCCTCAAAGCAGTATAAAATTCTTAAAACTGCCGTGATTATAATCATTATTAAACGGTTTTTCAGTCAATGAACAGCAAATTCTGGACTCTTTTTCCTTTGCAAAATATAAGAAACAGAACACAATCCCCTTACCTTTTTGTCCTCGAAATGTTCTATTTCTAAAGACTGTCCTAATTCAAGACTAAACTCGTCTAGGATATCTTGGATTAAAACAAAAGTAATGTTCTTTGGAGAAGACATTCCAACCAGAATCCCAATACAGCTCAAAATGTTGTTATCTTCTACAAGAAATACAGCTGACCCAGACGCGCCGACTGGACTTTCGGGACTGTCGGTATCAAGCGTAATAGTTTTCTCAGAATTAAGGTATCCAGTCAATAACCTTCCATTAGGACAATGAACTACAATTTTTCTGTTAATGTATGTCTCGGGATTTAGTTTTCTCAGATCACTTGTGCCCCTCATTTTGTATGGAAACTTTAATCCTGTAACAATTATATAATTTTTAATTTTGAAAGTACTGACTTTCATAACAAGATAGCCATGATTGCCCTGAAATCGCTCACCTGTATATAGGCCCTTGGGGCAAGGCCAATTTTATACAAGGGGCTTTTATTTGAACAAACTTTATAGACATCCATTAGAAGATGTTTCATGATAAATATCTAAGCTCTAGCTGTTTGGGATTTTTATAAGAAGATTTTTTCAAGTATTTTCTACACATATATAGGGTAAAACAATGACCCCCCCCCTCCAGGACAGGCCAATTTTGATCCAAGGGCTTACATTTGAACAAACTTGGTAGACACACATTTGAAGATATTTCATGCTTAGTATCTAAACTCTAGCTCTTTGGGTTTTTATAAGCAGATTTTTTAAGTTTTTACTATATACATAAAGTGAAAAACAATGACACCTGGGGCGGGGCAAATTTTTACCCAATGGCTTTTGGAATTTTGCTTGGAATTAAATTCTTTGAACAATTTTCAAAGTTGACTACCAAAAAAACATTCCTGTGAAGTTTGGATGAAATTGGCTTAGCGATTTATGAGGAAATGTTGTTTAAAGTAAAGGTTTACAGCGGACGGACGCCAGACGATAAGCGATCACAAAAGCTCAACATGTCACTTTGTAACAGGTCAACTAAGGAGTAATTAGTTTGTTATAAGCACATGAAAATTATCTTGTTCTTCATACTTATCAACTATCTTGCTCTTTGTTAAGACTGAGTCCACAACTACCTATATTAGTGCAACCTCTGAAACTACAAATGAATAAATATTTGTCATAGTTGTCTATAGCGTTGTTGTTTTTTCTTTTTTTTTCTTTTTTTTTTTGAAAACTTCCAGTCACAGGTTCAAAAACTAGCAAAGGTGGTTTTTTCTTGAAGCATTTTCATCTTTCTATAAGAAACAAAAATAATTTGTAAGATGTCTTTCAACAACAAACTAAGACTAATGTTTACCTGCTCGGGACAGATCATCGCTATCTACGTCGATAAATGTGCAATGTTTTGGTATAAACTCATCAGATACTTTCACAAGGGCTGTATCTAATTCCTTTCCAGTTGTTAAAACCTCTCCACATATATCTTGTTTTTGATCTTCTGTGTCAGGATAATAAACAACTTTCAATCCATTTATTTCAGATCCTGGGAAAAGGTGCCCAGCTGTTAAAAAGCATATCTCTCCTTGGTCTAGTAAACGGACAAAAGGTCCCACACAACCAAATCTTCCAAGCTCGCTTCCAACGTAACCACCAATTTTGAGGACTGTTTTTAAATGCTCTGAAACTAAATTCAAGAATAGTATTATTAAGACGTAGTTCTTATAATTCTACAGATGAAATGAAACAGATTCCAATGGTGCGAAAGTTTGGAATTCGATGCCATTTAATATCTTTTTTATTTAATTTTACCCATGTGATAGGGTGCTATATCAGTCAAATATATTTCATTTTTTTTTTTAAATAAACATGAAATATAAATATGAAAGTGGGCGGAGTCAAAACTCATTTATTTTTAGGGACTTCTTTCGCCATTTGTTTGAAAAATCTGAAAAATACAAAACAACTTTTTGTTGAATTTTGTATTGAAATCTAAATGATAGAAAATAGTCTTAGAAAATAAATCCGAACACCAATATATTTAATTCAGTCATTAACGCTGTACACACGTTTAAAGAGTTGTGTACGTGAGGTCACAATGTAGCGCCAAACATCGCGTGCAAAACTGCGCGCTGTACAATTGCAGTTGTGTAGCAAGTAAGGGGGGTTCGTTACCAATTTTCTTTAATAATAAAACTAAAAAACAAGTTTATTTTTTTCGTTTTTCGTGAAATACGGTATATATTTTCACTCAACATGATAAAATGCCACATATTTTCACTCGCCGTCGCATAATTTCACTCATTCTCTATATCTTAGTAAAAATAAATATAAATGAAGATCAATAAAGATTTTCTTTTTTATATATATCAGATTTGTCGTAACTGTGTCATTATGATATGATACCTATTATCCAATTTTTTTTGTTAAATTGTAAGAATTGAATATTGTATGAAATATATTTCCTTTTGAAAAGGAGAGTTTGTCAAATCACTTATCACTCAAACTGTTTGAAGTTGTTCAAATTGACTTAATGTAATAGTTGTTGTTGTTTCTTTTTTAATTGTGAGGAAGGCCACATTTTGAATTGAAATATGCTATTTGTATTTTGTACGATGCTACATCTTATTTCGTGAATTTTAAATTTAAGATATTATTCTTTATTCGTAATAATAATAATTATGATGAAAACCATATTATCATTATATCCATTATTACTTTTATTGAATCTGTTCACCGGCGAATAACATTACACCAAATATGGATGAATAAACAACTTGACAAGCTGCAACTTTTAAGCAGCAAATATGATTCAACAATATGCAAAATAGATAAAATAAGAACCCCTATAAAGAAAGTTAAAAAACAAATTGAAAATGCTGGCGGCTCAGTTTGAGTGAGCCTGTTCATGGACGGTAAAATCTTCTTTTTTTCAAATTTCTTTAATTAGTATTCACATGCACTTGAATAGTGAAACAAATTTGGCAAACAAGTAAAAGAACAACAAATTGCACACAATGAAGTTGGTCCCGAAATTAATATTAGTCAAAGAAAGATAGAAAGAAAGGAAAAAATGTACAGAATGGCATGTAAAGTCCATATCTAAAGCAAAAACTTTTGAGTAAGCTATGAGCCTGCACTCAGAAAGCATTTAGTTTACTTAGTATTTAGATACTTTTGTGTACCGTTTTAGGTGTCAAGTTGAACAACAACAAGAAGAATTCAATTCAGTAATTATTAATAAACACCTTTTACATGTATGGTGCTGATTTTATACAACTTTTCTTGTCCCTTTGCATAAGGCAAAGGCGATATCAAAATAGTAACCGCCCGTGCATCCACGCGTCTGTCCAAATTTTGTCAAAAACATAATTCCCAAAATAACTTAAGTGAACTATTTTAACTTTATACACTGACAGAGTGAAGAAAGTACACTAAGCAAAACCTGCTTAATCTAATGTTATTCTCAGTTATCAGATTGTCTTGAAAATCTTTGTCCGAAGCATAACTCGTAAATTACTTGAGTAATTTTCTTCACACTTATTACACTGACAGAGCACATAAATAATGAAAGGGCTGCAAGCTCTGTGGTATTTTCTGATCTTTGCAATCTAAATCGTACTGTATATCTGTATGTATTTTCCTGTTATAAGTGTACTTTTATATACTATAATTCACCTTGCAGGGCACCGAGATGCAGCGACTGCGTTTAATTTTTTACTATAACAGTTTGATACATATGGAATTTTGCATGACTAGAGTTGCATCAAAAAGCATTTATGTTCATTTTTAGGACAACCGCACTTCATTCTTTTATCCTTGCATATCGTGGCTACTTCCTTAAAAAAGACACTTAAAAAGTTGCCTCGACTGGGATTTGAACCCCAGACCTCTCACACCCTAAACGAGCGCGTTACCCCTGCACCCAGAGAAGTTTAACGAAGACAGTCTGAATATAATCAAATAATTCAAATTTTAGAATATCCATGCAGGATTTGTAATCCTTATTAATTTCAAGGATACTTTTTTCACGATATACCTGTTGTTTAACACTAATGTAAACAATTTAGCGAAAATCTTCTCGCCAAAACAGTCTGACATGTATATATTCCACTACTCGACAGTCAGATTTACAGTTTTTTTAGTGTAATACGCATTGAGGTATTCGGTAATCGACATTGCTAAAAATAGCATTTTCATTGATTAAAATCATATTCATCGGCGTGAATTTATTGACAATTCTATAAGCCAACGCTACTTTTAAACATTGAATGCGTTGAAATTTTTTGATACTTGTAACAAAAAAAAAAACATTTCTTTCTTTTACATCGCTAGTTTTAAGCTGCTTTTAGAAATACTTGTTGTTAGGTTTCTCGTGAAACTTTTGTGTCTGAGATTGAATATTATGTTAGCATTGTGTTTCCTGATCTCCGATCAGAAAAAACAAAAATTGCAGTGTACCTTGCTAACATTTAAGTTTTTCTTCTTCGTGAATTCCGAATGTTGAAAACGTGAGTTCACGAAGTTAAAATTGTGACTCATGAAGACGAAATCGGGAATTCATAAAGTAGAAATTGCCCTACCGGTCTTTCGTCCTTAAGAGATTTTCTTTAAACCTTATACACTGTGCTGTGTAATACAACTTTAAGTATGTTTATAGATTAAAAAACAAATATGTAGTTCAATGTTACAGTATAAAAATTATCTATTTATGTTCTTAATGCGTAAAAAACATTCACATTTGAGATGTAGTTACTATGTTTATAAGATTTATTCTATATAACGGTAATCTTTATGAATTTACTATCACATTTTATCATTATAGATGAAATATAATTTATTTAGGTAACTGGTTATTAAAACATACAGAGGTTACCGGCGTATTTAGCCTTATTTAAAGGAAGACTTTACTTTTACTAGGACAGTACGATTTTGGCCGTATTAAAAATGAAAGCCCATATTCCCTAGTTTTATATTCATTTTCTTATTTAAGTTCTAATAAGATCAAATTGTTTAAGTTTTATTCTGAAGAACGTTTAATATTACTTATTGAAATCGATTATTAATATTGTGTGATAAATAGATACACATATTAAATTCTGATATAAAAACAAGATTCGAGTTGACTTTACGACACTCTAATGTTATTCTTGTTTGAGTTTCCGTTTAGAAAGTGGTGATTACACTACAACTGCTATAACGCTTAGTAAGGACGACTAGTGTGCAAATGGCAATAACACTTCCTTATCTATATTCATAGTTATTTCCCTTTATCAAATAAACCTAGAGTATTACTCTAAAAGTATTTGAGTGACTTTGTTAAAACTGAATAAACTGACATAAATTAAATACAACTAGAAGGGTTTTTGTTGCAAAAACATATGTCTCCCAAAACTATGTATTGTCACTCATGTGAAGTTTCATTGAAATCCCACTATAAAAAAATGGTTTGCTAGTAAAATTGCCTTTTTGACACCAACTAGTCAAAAGCAAAAGTATGTGACAAAAATGCTAATAATTAAAGGTGGCATCTCATTTTCCGATGTTACTGTACTGTGCAGTAGTTCACATATGCAAAATGTAAATTATTTTTTATGATTAATATTACAGGACACAAACTTTTTACATAAGTAAAATGTCGCCGAGTTTTTACATTATTTTCCAAGTGAGTTGTTTTGTCTTCGTTCTTTTCTGTCATTAAAAGAATGAATTAAAAGCGGAACGCAATATTAAAGTAATATTTTATTTATTAACACAATGCGTTATTATCGTACAACTTTGCGGCATTATAGAGGTCAGTTATTATTTTTTGAAGTAAATCCAAGTTTGAATATAGCAATCAATTCTACATAACACAAAATATCAGTCTCAGACGTGAGGTACACATATTACTGATTTGGCATACCATATGGGATTTTTATCATATTTGAATATTGGAAAATGCCGCTTTTATCATTTTCATACAAGAATTGATAAAACCTTCTTGTTAAAAACCTAATTAGCTTCAATTTTATTATTCTATGTTTGCTAATTGATCATCTATGTCCCTAATTAATGAGAATAATGACCCTTTGTCAAAACCGACAGCACATTGTTAACAGCAGCGACAACATATTTCCTCACCAAATTTAACTTTCATTTTCTCAAAGCACCAAACGTTACATGTGCAATAAAGATCTACCATGACCCCTTGTTAGAATTTTACTGCAATAAGATTTCTTTTCAACTATTTTAGCAAGTTTACAGTTTTTTGCATTTAAAAGCTGTGGTGAAAAAGTGGTGATATTTATAATTTGAATGTTTTCTTTGCTGCCTAAACTCTAATTTCAAAGTGTGTTATGTACCAAACCTTTACCCCACAGCTGTGGGTTCGAATCCTGTCAGGGACGAAAAAGCTATTCAGCTAGCTTACAGAACGTTAGTGGTTCTACGTTCTACTCAGTGCCCGTCCGTGCCTGAAATAATGTTCAGTAGGGCACCTAAGGTCTTCCTCCACCAGCAAAGCTGGAACCTCGCTACATGACATATACTGTGTTGGTGTGACCTAAACCCAAATCAAACAAACAAAGAAATATATCCAACCTACTTAGTTACCTAAAACAGCGGGAAATATATGTAGGACTCGTCAAAGAAAGCGGACATGTTTGACTTAGTTACCATATTTACAGATAGAATAAGCAAGACATA